GCCTTTTTTTTTCCCGCTCTGTTGCAGCTGTACGGTGAGTACAGGGAGCAGCTCGGGAACTTCGCCCGGAGGGAGGCCGCCCGCCTGCTGACGGAGAGACAATGGAGGAAACAGAGAGAGGAAAACAACGCAGCCTCGGGCCGCAGAGGCCTCGGCCGGCGCCATCACCACCACCACCAACGGCCGATGTCGCTGGAGTCGTTTCAGAACCTCACGTCGACTCCCCACAAGACTCGTTCTTACTCCAAATGCAAAGGTGAACAGGAGGTCATGTGATCGTGGTTCTTTAGAACGGGCCCTATGAAGGAGCTCTGGTCCAATCAGCTTCACCGGTCGTTGGACTTTAACGATACAGTGAACGTAACGATGCACGTCCAATCCCGTCATCGTCTGGTCTGGTCTGGTCTGGTTGACCTGGTTAACTGTCAATATATGAAACAACAACAGAAGAAGAAGAAGAGAAGAAACAGGAAGTGGTTTTTATCAGCAGTTCTTCCCACGTTTGGTTGGGTTTGATAGTGGGTCACAACCAATGTTTTTATCAGCATACTGCCACCTACTGTACACCTTGATATGAGATTTTTTATTTTTAACTAATGCGAATTGTCAGTATTTGATAACTCAGCCGCCTCCTAATTTTTTAATTTTAACTAATGCGAATTGTCAGTATTTGTATGGATTGTTTTAACCCATTCACGACACATTGTTACATCGTTAGAAATGAGTTTTTAAAATACACAGTATATTAAAAAAACTTTTAAAACTTTGACCACAAATAAACTGATGAATGTGAGCTCACACCACAAGGCCTTAACGTGTGTGTGTGTGTGCATGCAGGTGTGTGTGTGATGTGTGTGCCACAGCTCCCCCTGTAGACCAACAGTCAGACTGAGTGATTCCCTCTGAGGCTCTGCTACAATAAATAACTGACAGTAATTAAAGCCGGTGATAAATGACTCGGAGGTGAATCATTAATTTTATCTCTCTGTCCCAGATTGTCTCACTCGGGTGAGGAGATACATTGTGAACAAAATGGGGGATGACTGGATTTTCCTCGTCCTTCTGGGCCTGACCATGGCTCTGGTCAGCTGGAGCATGGACTACGCCAGTGCTAAGAGCCTCCAAGGTACCACCGGTCCAGGTCTCTGAAGGACTCCGCTCCAGGTTTTGATGTCTCCGTCACTGATGCCTCTCTTCCTGTTTCAGCCTATAAGTGGATCCACGGGGAGCTGAAGGGCAACGTGGCGCTGCAGTACCTGGCCTGGGTCACATATCCCATGATCCTCGTCATGTTCGCCTCGCTCTTCTGTCACCTGGTTTCTCCACAGGCCATCGGTAATCTCTCCATCGGCCGCCGGCTCTCGTCTCTCTCTCTCCGTCACTGACTCGCGCACACAAACACTGCTCCGTGTGTTTCAGGTTCTGGGATCCCGGAGCTGAAGACCATCCTGAGGGGCGTGGTCCTGAAGGAGTATCTGACACTGAAGGCCTTCATCGCAAAAGTCATCGGCCTGACTGCGGGGCTGGGCAGCGGGATGCCGGTGGGCAAAGAGGTGAACACACACCCGTGACACCAACGTCAGCGTTCACACCGCAGGCGTGGGCTTAGGAGACGGTTTTATCCAAAAAGGATGAGGAAGGAGGGTGGAGACAGGTACAGGGAAAGGATAAGAGCATGGCACCGTCCCCACACACTGCCCCCTGCTGACTTTGGGGATGGGTAAAAAAAGCAGAGGTCAAAGGTCGGTTGTGGTCAGTGTCACAATAACAAGTGGTTCACTTCCACTTCCTGTCCGACTCTCACCCTCCGTCAGTCCAGTGTCATCGTCCTCCCCGTTTGTTTCCCCTCCAGCACAGAGGATGACAAACTTCCTCCCCCTCCTCCTCCCCCCTCCTCCCACAGGACGGGGGCAAATGTTTGGCGCTCTCTGCACTCGTTCTGCCCGCTCCAGTGGCACAGCAACTGTCAAACACAAACATTCAGAGCGTCATCCGTCTTTGCTGACGCATCACGTCCCAGTTGGCACTCAGGGTCGTTCACTCTGCCGTTCACTCTGTCGTTCACTCTGTCTGTGTTGATGATGTCATGTGTGTCCCGTCACCTTCAGGGTCCGTTCGTCCACATCGCCAGTATCTGCGCCGCGGTGCTGAGTCGCTTCATGTCCATCTTCTCTGGAGTCTACGAGGTAAGACGAGGCCCAGACCTCAACTGTCTCTCTGACCTGTCTCTCTGTCCTGTCCCTCTGACCTGTCTCTCTGTCCTGTCCTTCTAACGACGTCCCTCGCTGCAGCTAAAACAATAACAACATCAGAGTTTGACCTCTTCAGTCTCAGCGTTTCTATGAGCTCCAGAAAAAAAATTGACAATTTTCGTCCTTTCAATTTTTATAATTTATTAATTTTTTTAAAATAAATAGTTTTTTTTGGTTCTCTGTGACAAAAATCAAAGGTTATTTTTCATAAATAATAACTTTGTTATACTTCTGACTCGGTGCGTTTTGAGCGACGTGTCGGGTTAACTCCTGGACACGTCCAGATTGACGCCCGCTCTCTCTGCTCTGCCCTTGACTTTTTAATCCAGTCCCAGATCTAAAAACGATCCCATGTCCTTCTTCTAAACTTCTATCAACACTTTTTAATCCACTGGTTCTGAGCTCACATGAGGCAGCTGCAGGGCCACAATCTGAGTCCTGGAGAGTCATGGAAATGTCCTTGAATTTGACAGACATAAGAAGACACACCTCACCCAGTGCATGCTGGCTCCTCCCACTTTCCCTTGCGTCTTTGTTTTGTCTCTCTCTCTCTGTCCACTCTCACACCTGGTCTGTGTTTGTGTCTCTCTGTATTAATAGTGTGATGGTAATGTCTGGCATGTGTATTAACAGTGACCTCCCATGTCCCTCACCCCCTCCCCCCCTCCCC